TATAAAGGAATTTTTATGATAAGATTTATTTAATCCAATTTGTAATCAGTTTTATTTCTTGATGAGACAGTTAATAATTATCATTATTTAAAATATTTTTTTATATATTTTAATTACTAATTTTTTATTTTCTTTATTTAAAAAAAATAATTTATTTTGTTTAAATTAATATTATCAATTATAATTCTAACTAAAGAAGTTTTAATATCAGTTGAAATTTTATATTATTTAAATTTGAAATTTATCAATACTAATCAAACTTTTAATAATAACTAAAATTAGCTTATATTCTAATTATAACACAATTTAATCTTTTTTAACTAATGAATTTTTAAAGATAAATATATAAATACTTTAGTAAAAAGGGAAAAAACTATTAAAAAAAAATTTTTTTAAATTAATATTAAATATAAATTTATTTTACTAAAAAAATAATATTTAATTTATAAAATAAATAAAAAAATTTTTTGGTAGTTTCTTTCTTTTCTACTACAAAATACTATATAATAAATTATTATAAAAAAAGTTAAATTTTTAAATTTATATTTATTACTATTTATTAATCTTAGAAAATAAAATTATCTAATAGAATTTAATAAATAATTCAATAAATTAAATTATATTTTTTTGTGATATTAAATAATAAATTATTTTTAAAAATTAAAAAATTAAAAAATTGATATATATATCATTAATTTTTAATTTTAATATTTTAAAAATACTATTATAAGATATATCTTAATATGATAAATCTAATAAATATTATTTCAATTTTTTTATGATTATTAGATATCAAAATATTACAATTTTTCTATAACAATTTTATACTTATTATTTAAAGAATAATATTTATTTTATATAAAGTTAAAATTAAAACTTAAAGTTAAAATATTTTGACTTGAAATTTATAGATAAAATTTAAAGTTTAATGTATTATGAAAGGTAAAATTTATAATGATTATTTAATAATATATTAAATTTATTAAATAGTTAAATATTATAACTTTTATTGAAATATTAAATATAGATTAATTACAATTATTATAATAATTAAATATTTAATAGATTTAAATAAATTCTAATTTTTAATAAAAATAATAGTCAATTCTTGATATAGCGAACTCTTGATATAATGAATTTTTTGAACAAATATAATAAAAATACTCTTGTTATAGCGAATTAGCCAATCAAATCTCTTAAACTCTTCACTATAGCCTTATAGCGAAGTTGAGGTCTAGGACATAGAGTTCGTTATAACAAGAGTTGACTGTAATTATAAATAGATTAAGAATTTTTATTTATTATCAATGTTTATTAAAAAAATTAGTATTATAAATAAAAAATTTTTTAATCTTATGATTAAATAAAATTTTCTAAATTAAGTACTTTATACTTTAATAACTTAATATTTTAGTAATTATATAAAATTAAAATATAATTTATTGAAATTATTTTAATAATTTATATTATATATATAATATATAATATAAATAGCTTAATTATATCAAATGATCAAGTTTTTACTAAAATTTATACTAATTATTATCAAATTTAAATCAAAATTTTATTAGTTAAAAGTTTAACATATAATAAGAATAAATCACTTAATTATTATTAAATATATTATTTTACAATATTTTATATCTTTTCATTTATTAATATTTTTTTAATTAAATAGAATTATAATGTTAAATTAAATAAATATATTAAATAGTATTATAAGTAAGCAAAAAATCTTAAATATCTTTGAAATTGTTAGATGTTAAACTTAATATATTTAAAAAATTATAATTTAATACTTTTAAATAAAAGGTAAAAAAATTTGTTTTATCATGATAAAATTATAATAGAATAGAAAAAATTACAATTAAATAAACTAGAATAACTAATTAAAAATACAAAAAAAGGTATATGTATAGAATATAAGCTTATATAAACTAGTATACAATAATACTATTTAATTAATATTACATAATAAAAATGTATATTAACAAAGTAGCTTTAGGTTTTAAAAAAGATTACTAATAAATAAAACTACCAAATATGATATAAATCTTATATTCTTTATATTTAAAATATAGAAGCAGTCAATAGAAAAGGGGAAAATCTACAAATTTTAAGTAATTTTAATTATTAAACTAATTTTGTTCACATAATCATGATCAGCAGAATGAACTAATAAAAAAATTGTTTGATTAAAAAGTGTATTTTCTCCTTTTCTATTGACCATCTTCTATATATATAATAGTAGTGATAATAATGATAATAAATTCACATTAAAATCTTTAAATTCATTATTAAAAAACAAGAAAGATAATAACTTCAATTAGTAAATCAATTTTTCTATCTTATTAGATTATAATAAATTTAAATATATTATTAATATATTTATAAAAATTATAGATTTACCAATATAGATATTAATAATCTTTTTACCTAAAGCTTAAGCAAGAATTTTTAACAAGCATAACTTTTTTATTTGTAAGTAAACTAATAATAAAAATGAAGACATATATAAATATGTATTTAAATGTAAATATACTAAAATATTTTAGTTAAAAATTACTAATGATCCTTTAAAACAATGTAATAGAAATTGGTTAAAACTAATTATAATTATTTTATTAACGTTAATATATGATAAACAATTAAATTATCAGGTCAATCTATAATTAAGATAAATTTTAGACATTTACTTAATTTAAAGACAATTTATTTTGCTAATATATTGGGTCTTTGCAATAGAAAGGGAGGAAACTCAAAAAAAAATAAAAATGAGTTAATAATAAATCTGAACAAATTATAGTATTTGGAACATTTTTGGTTTATAAACTAAAAATTTTAATTTTTTTGAAGTTTCCTCTCTTTCTATTGCAAAGGCCCCATATATTGATAACTTTTTCTGAATATAATAAATAGGATAAAATTTTATATAAATATAATACAATATCTAGTAAAAAAAATGACAGTATAATCTTTTACTATATAATAACTTTTTTTTGAAAGAATTTGTATAAATAATTATATAATATTTTATATATATTACTAGTTTAAAAACTATATGTATTTTTTGAAGTTTGCAATACATATTTCAATATGAATAAAATTTTTGCAATTCTAACATAAGGTCAAATTTGAGTATTTGATCATTAAAATTAAGATTACAAAGAATTTTACTATATTAATGAGTTTTACTACTAATAAAAAAATATTTAGCTAAAATTTTATAATAAAAATAATATAGGATCTTTACAATAGAAAGAGAGAAAACAGCTGAAAAAATCAATTTACTTTTATATAGCAAATATGATTTTTAGATCAAAATATATTCAGATTTAGCATTAACTCAATTTTTATTTTTTGAGCTGTTTCCTCTTTTCTATTGCAAAGATCCCATATATTCTAACTAAAAAAGTAGAAAATAGAAAATATGAAATTAAATTAATATAAAAAAAGACTAACTTTCTAATTTTTTAGTATTTTAACTTATATTTAAATTCAGATTGACAGAGAAGAAGAATACTTTTTATATTTTAATTTTTTAAGTGTATAATTTCTTAATCAAAAGCATTTGAGAATAAAAAATTTTTTGAAAGTTATTTATTAATAACTTTTATTATTCAAGAAAACTTTCTGCTATTCTTTTTACTGAGAACTGTATATAGAATTGATTAATATTTTAAGACAACTTCTTGGTAAATAGATTTTTAGATAGAGATTTAATTAATGTCATTCAGTATTTTCAAAAGGACAAAATAATAAAATTCTGAAATAATACATCTAATCTTCTTAAAGAATTATAAAAATTTAAATAAAATGATCTGACATGATTTATATCTTATCACTATGTTAAAAATCAGCTTTATTATTTATTTTAGATGATATTCTATTAACAAAATCTTTATTTAAGATATATATTAACAGATAATACGATTTAGACCAATAAGTATCAATTGTCATTATGTTTATTTATAGGAATTGATAAACATTGTCAATCAAGATTAATGGCTTAAGCATTAATATTTGATGAAATAATTCATCATTTATATGGTTCTTAATACTCTTTTAATAGCAGTTAATAATTTACAACCATCAATAATATATTCTGATTGTGGTATAGGATTGGGTCTAACAATTGAAACTATTCTTCCATCACTCAATATTTATACTATATCTTTCATATCATTCTAAATATTAAAAAACATCTCATGCAGCCACTTGGATCTCAATACATTGAATTTTAATTAGCATTTTTTCATGTTAAAATACTTTATTTGAAAGCAACCTTAGAATCTCAATTTGAAGCATTATGTATAAATTTTTCAGATGCACCATCATATTTGAGAATTACATTATATTCAATCAACATTTCGGTAAGAATTGATTTAGGATTAGGGTGCTTATGTTTGCTAAGAGATATATATACTGGTTGACTCGGGGTAATCTGAATTTCCGCAGTAAAACTTCGGACGTCCGTGTATTAGCATATAAAAAATAAATACGATTCCGAACTCTAATCTAATGTTCATGTTCGATTAAGATATTTGATGGAAAATATTTAGTTCCAACTTTTATTGATTATATCAAATATGAATAGCAAAGTATTAAACATGTTCTAAAAGAAAAATATAGTAGACGTGATGTATGAGATAATAAAATAGTGACCATTCTAATTTTATGATCTTTATACAATTTATTCAGATAATTCTTTTTCTTTGATGATTTTCGAATTACCCGGTCGTGGCTTATTATGATTTAGGTTTGAAAGGACCTGGAGGTTAAGTGCGTTACTGTATCGTGCGCTTCTCCTATTTCTCACCATTTGAAATTTTGTATCAGTCCCAACTACAATAGACGCGATAGATAAAATTAATAAAAAGTATTTTTGCTACCTTAAATATAAATAGAAAAAAGTTTTTAACATACCGCCCAAGTTACTATCGTCTTAAAAAAAATGAAAATAAATTGACTTCTGCAAAATCCGTTGGAATTTCACGTTTTTATTTCAAAAAGTCGATATACTCCTATAAAATACAAAAAAGTTAGTTAAAAACCTTTAAGCTATTTCTTAAAACAATTTATTTGCACTTACCCAAGTAATCCATGAAGTAGAATCTAAGACTAAGACACATGCATTGGACCATATAAACTCTTAATTGTAATGGTGTAGTTTAACCTCAGATATAACGGTGAAATTTATCATGTCCTTTCCTGCTCTCACGTTCTGAACAAAATCAGACATTTCCTTCGTATTATCAACAACATACCTTCATTAACCGAAATTTCATATGGCTTTTCGCCTGTGGTGTATGCAGTATCATCTGTGCGGTTTGCGTTTCCACCCTGTTTCCATGATTGATTTACGGTAAGCTGAGGTTTATTTCATCTAAAATAAAGAAACGCTTAAGATCAATATTATAATGCTATTACAGAAAAAATAGATAAATAAATAAAATAAAATATTTACGATTCATAACAAACGCTCGAAAACCTCCATAACGCCTTCTTGTTCATAAACTCCTTTTCGAGCATGTCGTGTTTTTTAAAAATGATTGTTATGTAATAAAGAATAAGTATTGAAGCTAAAAATAATAATATTGATAAATTCTAATGAACATAAATAATAAATAAATAAAACATACTAAACTGTCAACGTTTCAAATAGAAACCGCTTCAGTTTTTTAGAAACGGATCCTTTCTGGTTCCAGGAAATCTTCAAGCTTATTATTCCATTGTTAATATTTATAGTTTTGCTAAATAATAATAATAATGAGCCTATTCAAACGGTTAAATTTGACTTTTTTTTATATTATTTAATTGTTACAAACAATAAGAGAAAAAGTCAAAAAAAGTCAATTTGAAAAGGCTCAATGTTATACTAAATTGAACAAAAAAAAATATGAGCTGATAACAAAATGCCTCTGAAAAAAGATATCAATTGCTCGTTCGGGAATTAACTTATCAATTGGTTCAAGCATTTCCTTCAAAACTTGTTCATCGGTGTACCTTAGAACAAATTTCTGATGAAGGGCTTAAATCCATTATTCCGTTGCGACACAACTCGTTGATAGTTTCATCACAGTATCTGGAAACTGCACCAAATTTGTCATTTTGTCAGAAAACGCTGTAGCTCGTTGTGAAGATTCTTAAATTGACTATGGTCATCCTCCTGTGAAATTAAATAATTGAGATTCAGTAATCAAAAATGTACAATAAACTTACTCACTATTACCTTTTCATGTTCATCTAAACTATTTTTGCTCGGATTACAATTTTCTTCGTTTTCGTCGGAGTTATAAGAATCATCAGAAAAAAGTTTAATGGGAGGTTCCAATAGTGGTTTTATGGGATTTTGTTCAAGGCAGTCGTCATTTTGACGTAAAATGGGAGGGTTTCTAGGAAAATCAGGTTTCGAGAAATTTTTTGACTTAAATTAAGAGCTTAATACATTTTAATCTAATAACATCAAAAACTAAAATGCAATAAAAATCTCAATTTTGTTAAAAAATTCCCGGAACCTGATTTTCCTAGCAATCGACCCAAATGACATATATACTATTATTTCACATCACGAATATTAGCTGAAGTATGTTGTATATCTTCTTTGATTTCTCCTCATAATCAGAATCCGCTTCTGATGAAATTCAGCATAATCAACTTGACTTTTCTTTTTCTGAGCGTCCTTCTGGAAGATCCTCCTTCCTATGTCATAAAAACAATATAGCCATGAGTAATATGCTCCTTCCATAACTGTAAAATCATAATCACGAATTAATCAACCTCGTATTCATCATTTTTTAATTCATCGATGCGTGTTTGATTCGTGCGGGTAACCCTAATAGAATTGTTTGTTGAGTTATTGTGAAATTTGTTCCCAAGATCGTTTCAAGCTTACCTCCAAAGCTTTAACTGTGTAGGCAGATGTAACATTAATATTAAAAGCTGTAACAATTCCACGTTGCTCCTGCTCTTCTCGAAGATTATCGTTAAATTCTTTCATTTTGATCGTAGAGAATGATTTCTCGAAATCAGTTAGAATCTTGTTCGATTTGTTCGTTACGTTTACATGAATGTCATTTGCTTTGTAGTTCTGTAGCGATGCATATATATTACTCTTAAGATCATTGATGATATCTGATATAATTGACATTTGATTTGGTGTATTCTAAAATAGAAATAATTGACCAGTGTTTGTATTCGTTTCGCCAAGATATTTTTTATGATAGGCTTAAACATCCTAAGAATGAATAAAAATTTAAGTTGAATTATATTGATTAGCACATGAATCTATACATGACAAACTGACGCTTTCGTATAATTCAAATATACATTTTATAATAAGTTAACAATGACTTACAATTCTCCTTCGACTCGTGCAGGTACACTTTTTTATTTAACCTATAACTCAACTATGAATCTATGAATTAGTAATGCATTAATTTAAATAAATAGTCAAAGTATACTGGAAAACAGCATGCGGGGATCAGGCCTTGATCAAGTACTTCCCTGCAGACTGCATCCAAGCATCTAACGCAGGACGTAATGGCCATACGCCAGTAGGGATACGCTTGACTAGCACATAAAAATGGAAACACACTTACTTCGAAATTGCAGTAAAGAAAAAAAAGCCTGGACTTGCAGCTATTTTTGCGATTTTGTCAAACTTCTAGGTAGGGATGTTAAGCGATCCTTAACCGGTCCTTACAATTTAAGAGATTACTAACGTCTAATAAATTATCTATAATAAGTAACCCCTCTCAAAAAATGTCATAAAATTTTTATAATTAATTTATAAAAAGCGAAAATGGTATTCAAAATTGGCAATTTTGAAGGGACCGCTAAGTATAGGACCGGTTCTTGATACCCGATCCTAAGTCCTTAAAGTTTAAATTTTAAGAAATTCTGGGATTCCAAGGGTATTTATTATATTTTCATTTAGTAGCTCATTAAATCATTATAATAAACAAAGTTTCATAATAAATTTGTAAATATAATTCTTTATAATTTTCTTGGGACTTTTAGGACCGCTTAACATCCCTGGTCTGTATTGAACCGAGTCGAACCGATTTTTAGACCATCTATAATGCCGTGTCGCGTAAATTGTAAGACGCGTTGATCAGCATAGCGGGCTCTCATTGTGATTGGCTAATATTTGCAGATCATTTTTATTATTGCTAAAATTCTATAACGGTTAAGTATAATAAATAATAATTAGTTATAATTAGTCTAAAATTTTGATTTTATTATTAATTATAAAAATATCAATTAATTTATTTATTTACATTCCAATATATTGATACTTTTATATTAATTTATAACAAAAAGAGTTTAAATAATAATTCAAAAATATTAAAAATTAACATTTAATTTGAACTTATATATACTTTACTTGTAAATTAAGATCTTAAATTTGACCTAATAGGTTAATCTAAAAAGTTTGGGTTAGATCAGGTGGGGTATTTGATTTAATCTAATACAAATTTTTTAATTAAAAAATTTAAAATTTAATAATTCTATCAATATCAATTTGTTTGAGATAAATAACTACTATTCGTATCTTCTTATAAAGATAAATCAAACAAGTTATATTTTTTAATTTTAGATCACTGATTATCAAAATATAGTTTATTTAATTTTACTATATAAAAATTTTAGGACATATATTATAGATTTATATATAAATAAAAATAAAGTATAACTTTATTTGTTTAAAATAAAAATAGTTATCATTTAATTTAACATATAAAAACAAATCTAATGAGCTATAATATATCATTTATTGATCACTAAATACTAAAATATCTCAAAAAACTTTTTTTAATTTTTTTAATATGATCTATAATTTGATTTGATCTGATACTTTAAGTTAGGTTAAATAGAATACCTAACCTGATGTTATCCATTTAGAACTTTAATAATAAATAATTAAATCTGCCTTTTTATAAATTTATCTTATAAAAAACCTATAAAATAAATTTAATAATGAAGTAAATAAATTAGTATACTATATTTTTTTACAATTTGTCATATATGAATTTATTGAAAATAATCAAATTGCAAAATTTTACAATTAATTTTTTGCAAAAAAATTGTATTTCATCATTTTAATAGATTGTCTTTTCTATAAAAATAAGGTATATTAAATGATACTTTATTTAATTTGTATTTTTATAATTAATTAATCAATTTATTACAATTTATTTTTTATATCTTATTACCTTATAAATATTATCAGTATTTATTAAAATTTTTAATATATAATTATTAGAAATACCTAATACTATATTAATATAATTGATATTAAATATCTATATAATTAAAAATATTTATATATAATTATATTATTTAGATTACTTGTATAAATAATTATGTATTATTATATAAATTTCTAAAAAAGAACACAATATTATTATATAAAGGATTATATAAGTTTATTTTTTTAGAATTTGTGTAATATTATATGATTTTTCTTGATACAAAGTAGTAAGTTTCAGCTAGTTATAATTAAAAATTAATTAATTAATTAATAAATAAAATATAAAAATATATAAACTTTTAAAAAAAATGCAATTAAATAAATATCAAATTATTAAATCTAATAATTTTTAAAATAAATATTATTATTATTATAAAATATAAAATAATAATTACTTTAAAATTTATCTTTTATTATATTTTTTAATATAATAATTTTTAAATATATTATAATTAAAACTTAATAAACTTTGATATAAAATACTAATCCTTAATAATTTAATAAAACAATATGCTAATTTAGTATTTTTTATTCTAAAATAATATTATTTATTTGATTAAAAGTAATATATTAATAAATACTTCAATATTATTAAAAAATCTCTTTTATTAATAATTAATTTTACAGCTTTACTTATTATTTTATTATGATATTTTTTCATAAATTTATTTTAATATTAAAAATATTTACTTATTTCAATAAAAATAACTTTTAAGTTATAAAATTGATGTTATACATTCAGTATTAGTAATCTATTTAATTTTAACATTGTTAACTTTATGATCAATCTGTTGAACTTAAAGCTCTGAATAGTTCAGTTCAGTCTGGATTAGATGTCAATCTGTATCTGAACTAAAAATTTCAATTCAGTTCAGTTCAGATTATTAATCTTAAAAATACCAATCTGAATCTAAACTGAATTGCAGATTGGTAAAAATCTAAACTAAACCAGAATTTTCAGATTAATTTGAAATTACAGTTCAATTATATAAGGAATCTGCAATTTATATGCAAAATTCTAGAAGAATCACAAAAAATCACGAATTTCTTTTTTAGATTCGTGAAAATTTGCAAAATTCAATGAGTAATCGTAAAAATTTGTGATTCTCCAAAATTTTCACATTTTTTTGTAAAATTTGATGAAAAATTGCAATTTTTTACAACTCTTCAAGAGTTTTGCAATATTTTGTGAAATTCTAAGAGAAATCGCAAAAAATTGCAATTCTCTAAGATTTTCGCAATTTTTTTGTAAAATTCAAAGAGAAACTGCAAAAAATTGCGATTTTCTAAGAGTTTCACATATAATCGAACTGAACTTTCAGATTAATTCAAAATTATTAGTTCAGTTCAGATTTTTTTTGGTTCAGATTAGAATTATAATCTGAAAAAAATCTGAACTAAATTAAAAATTTTCAGATTGATTTTTATGCAATTTGAAACTGATCTGAACTGAACCAATTTGAAAAATCTTCATATTAATCTGAACTGTTCAGAGCTTTAGTTGAACTTAAGGTAATAATAACTTAATAACAAGAAGTAATGTATGAGAAATTATTAAGTTACTATAGAATAGGCCTATTATAATCAACTTTAGATTTATAATTAGATAAGTAAATAATTTTAACAATTTATAAAAATAATAAATATGATTGATACATTGAAAAATTTAATATGTATGTAGTTTAGAAAAAGATTCCTTTATTGTAAAGCTTGTATCCTTAGCAATTCTTAACTTTAGATTCTAAGTCTTTAACTCAAATTATTGAATTATCACTGTTAATTCTATTCTTTTACAAGAATAATTTTCTATTCTATTTATATAAAATTATAATTATAAAGATCACTATTTAATACTATTTTATATAAATTAAATTATAATACTAACATAAATATAAGTTATAAAATATAATTTAACTATAATAATAATATAATAAATAATAAAGTAAATATTAATAATATATAAGAATAAATATAAATAATATAAAAATGTTAAAGAAGTTAAAAATGTTAAAGATGTTAATAACATTAATCTTTATTAATCTTTATGATGTAATAGGATTGACTTTATATAGTATCAACATATATCTTTAACCACTATTCTAAAATTTCATTTTTTTAAAATTAACTTTTCAAATAAATCATTGCATTAATGTTGATTTTTTAAAATAACTGACTAAAATATTATAATATTTTATAATTTTTACTGTAAAATCATATAAAATATTATGTGAAATAAGATTTATACAGTTTACAATATATTAAATATTAAAGATTTTAGGAAATTATGTTAAAATTAACTATTATGCTACATCAGTAAATTTAATAATGCGAAGTATTACGTAAACCCTACGCTTCGTAATCTTACGTAAGGTTACGAGCCCG